CGAAAGCAGAGGAGCTACCTTTGTATCGCGGGCTGCGACGCTTGCCCCGATTCTTCGCGGACGAAATTTTTCAGCGCCGACGACGACGACGACGACGACGGAAATCGAGAGAGAAAGAGAGCGGCCGATGCGTTTCCGGACGAAAAACACGACTCAATGAGTATCGCTCTTTCCCGTTACCGTGCCAATTAATCCTGTTTGCCTTGAATCACCGGTAAATTGGTTTTCGCGATTCCGACGAAACGAGGCGGAATTCGAGGGCCCCGGGAGCAGCTTCTCTAACGGAGCACCAGAGGCGGACAAAACATCTCGCGCATAGGCACGCGAGCTCGGGATACGAGTATCGTTCCCGCTCTGGTCCGATAGTTGAAAACGGAGGGAAAAAGAAGAGAGAGAAAGAGAGAGAAAAAGGGAAAAAGAAAGAAAGCCGGGAAGCTGCCGACGCGCATTTAGCGCAACCGACGGGAAATTGCGACGCACACTTCCGAAAGCCAAGTGACGTTGTCGTCGTGTTTCGTTGAAACGGGATTATAAAACACGTTGTAACAGACCGCGGATGTTTAAGCGAATTTACGATTGTAATTGGAAAGTCGAATCTCGGTAGAAAGTTGTGTTGCATGTTTTCTGCGAAATGGGACGTAGAATCTTCTGGTGGGGAATTGTTCGATATCGTTAAATATTGTATTCGGTACTATATTTTCGATACTTGGAGACTACTATTTTGGATAAAAAAACAGATTTATGTATAATACACCGCGGATTTGTTCGAGCGAATTTACGATTGTAATTGGAAAAGTCAAATCTGAATAGAAAATTGTACTACGTTATATCGAGTACCATACGTTGGATACTTCGTGTAGATACAATAAAATACATCGAGGTTTCAAATTCGTACAGATTTTTAGCTTCTTTGGAGACAGAATTGAAAAGGCGATGCCTTAAGCAAACGCAGGCGTTCTTCAAACTCTCGCCTTGAAATTTAGTGTTTAGTTCGCAGCTTACGGTAACGCGAGCGCGTAATTTATTGCTTGAAAATCGAGCATTGATCGCGCGCTTAAACGGGGGGGAAACGAAATTGACTAATTGATAATTTGAAATGCAAACGTTGATCGTTCGTCAGCGCTCATGAATTACAACGAAATGGAAAATAAGAGGGCCGCGCAACCGTTAATACCGAAATCAATGCGCGAGGCATCTCGTTAGCCGAATCTCGTTTCTGTGCGAATCTCATCGTAGCATTTTCGGACATTAGGAAGGAAGTACCGGCGGGTAAACGCTGGCGAAACAGCTCTTCGTTAATTTCACGTTGGTCCGAATTCGGCCGTAGAAACTCGAGAAGGGATCGACGCGAAACTGGCGGTTCTCTGCAGCTTTAATTGCAATTCTAGATGATACGGGAATCATCGCTCGGAAGAAACCTCGTTACGTTAATTCGCGCGAAATTAACGGAGAATCGCTCCTAACGAATTTTAACGTCGATCGACCGGCCGATCTCCCGCTTCTCTCGACGATTCGTTTCTTTTGCACGAACGACGACCGAGAGGAACGTTGGCGGGCAAAACGATCCAGAACGCATCGACGCTATCGAAAATATTACACTTGTTTCGACATTCTCTCTCCGAATATTATTTATTCCCTCGTCTCTAGAAATAATGTAGATGGATTAACGTAGATAAACGCAGTGTAACGTGTCTCGCAGAATAGGTATAGAAATAAATAAATCACACACACACGTACATAAGTGTAGAATGTAATTTATTACAAGTGCAGAAATACATTCTATACGAGAGTATAGAAATAAATAAATTACATTAATGTAACGTGGAAACAAAAGAGTTTCTCGAGAGAACGTTGAAAAAGATTTGCTCCGCGTGGAAAGAGAGAAGAACAGAAGATATCAAAACGCCTCGGTACTCATCGCTGCTGTGTCCCGCGAGACTCTCTCAAGGTAATCATTTTTCACCTTCGTTTCGCTGTTGATTCCCTCCCTATCGTTACCCACCCACGACAAGTGGAAAAACTCGCGTTCTCGCGGCCTTGTTAACGGGCGGGTCGTTAACGGCGCACCTCGAACGGCGGTTGCCAATCGGTAAACTATCGAAAAATCGATGGAAACGACGAAAGCGCGCGAGAAACAGCAATGATGACGTTTGTCCCGAAGAAACTCGATTAGGCGCAAATTTAATATCCGCGCATTAACGAACGTTAAATTAGTTTCCGAATGAATCGGCGACTCGCCGGTCACGAATCGATAAACCGGCGCTTCGCTCGCCGGTCCGCGCGCGCCGGGCGAGAATCGGCGGTTTGACGTCTCGTTTCGGGCTTTGCCGAGTTGGTTGGCTGGTTGGTTGGTTGGTTGGTTGGTGTTCCCCGGGTTCGGTTGGTCCCGGCGAAAGGTTCCGTAGCCACGACAATAACGTCGCTTACGGTGTACGTAACGGAATCGTCCATTGAATTAGAGTGGCCGCGGGCGTTTCGAGACAAGCGAGTTGCCGAGGTCTGGACTCAGCTTTTGGCCGGGCGATCGTGACGCGGGTCACAAGTGCACCGTATCGGCCGCCCCGATTCGCTTTCTCCACGCTCAGGAATTAATTGCACGCCGGTTCGACTTTGAATAGCCACTCCAAGTCGGGTTCTCCACTAAACTCGCTGCTTTCTCTCTGCGAACAGACTCGGAGTCCTCCGTTCACCGCGTCGCGTTGCCCTCCCCGCGTCATCGACCATCTGCGTAATGGTATACCCATACGTATGTATGTATACGACGTACGCGCGCTGAATCTTCCTTCGTTCTCGTTTTTACCTCGCGTCGTCGAAGACGAGATAACAAGGTATCACACGTCCGTCTGTCGTCTACTTCGTTCCATTTTTCAGCGAAGAGAAACTTCCGAATGTCACATTTTTGGATTTCGATCGCGTTGGAAGCCATGAATAAAAGTCTCGAGAAATTGCTTGGGTATTCCTACGAACGTATTCGATGAAATGGGAGGTAACTCTCGAAACTCTCGATGTTCAACGAGTTTCAATTTTGAGCCATCGTTTTCGAAAGCATCGAGAGAACGCGCGAGTATATATATATATATATATAAATATCTCAGACCCCGTCACTACGATGGAAACGTGTATCCATCGATATAGATAGTCAGATCGGAACTTGGGTCTCCCAAGTTTTCCACGATTGGAAACTGCTGATCGAAACAGAGCCAGAAGGATAGAGCTCGAGCGGCGAGATGCAAATCGATAGAACCTCCCCACCTCCTCCTCCCGCGTTCGGGTTGGTCGCGTCCGAAACGAGCGTGGTCGATGGGTCTGACTACCTTTGAAACGCGGGGGCTGAATGGCTGCAAGGGTCCCCAAACGCAATACGCGCGCAACGTCCGCGATAATTTGCAATTCGCATTTAAAACACGGCGGCTGCTAGCGCGTGTGCCCGGGATTTTTCGCGTGAAACGCGGCCGCCATCGCGATTAAAGAGTCCTTCCACGTTTACGTAATTTGCACACGGGACTGACGCGTCCGGCATTTCCAAGTCCATTAAGATCATAGTCCGGGTAATTAGAAGGACAATGTATCTTGGTTCGTGAGTGGTGGATTAAGCGGCACGACCGTGGAAGAGATTAACCACACGTCCCGGGAATGGGTTCTTTTCCGGAACCGGTAACTTATAAGCCAGCCACGTACCGGCGGTGAACGTCCGCGGAACCTCGCGCGGACCTCGAAACTCCCCTCTCTGCAAGGAAGGAATTTACGGAAGGGAGAGGGATAGGCGAAGAAAAAAATAGAGAAACACAAGAGAGAATCGCGTTAGCCTCGGTTGAGGCTCGCCTCGAAAATCACGTTACGACGTACGAAAAATTGCGTCTCTCCGAAGGAAATAATTCAACCAAACTCACCTGCCTAGTTTCACCTTCTCTCTCTCTCTCTCTCTCTCTCTCTTTCTCTCTTTCTGTATCTTTCTCTCTGTTTCTCTCTCTGTGTCTCTATCCTTCTCTTTGCACGGTTTCGCGTAACGATGCATTACGGACGGTATATTTTACGATCCAGAGAAAGGCCGGCCCTCCGTGGAATAGCCACGCGTACCGTCACCGTCGTAAAATATCGCACGAGCTTAATTAAACGCAAACCCCTTTGAACCGAACACCGAGTGCACATATAGAGTACAGAACGTTGCTTTCTCTCTCTCTCTCTCTCTCTCTCTCTCTCTTTCTGTTTCTCTTGCTCGCTTTCGGTTGTGCGTGGCTCGCCGATTCTGCTACTGGCCACTCTGCCGATCGGATTCGCCAATGATTCGTCATTCCTTTTACTCATCTACTTCTCTGCACTGCAGAGATGTGCTAATGTCTGCAGAAATACGAGTCTCAGTTGTCAGTTTTAGTAATTGCGCGATATGTGTGTACATTCTATTAATATACAATTAATAAAACTTACAGTGAAACTCGCGTTTCTTTAGGTACTTTGCAGTGTAGAGAAGTAACAGTTCACCTGTCTAGATAGTGTTCCGGTAATACTATTTTATATTGTAATAATATAATATTAAGTCCTATAATTTTTAATGATACAATATAAACTATTTTATATTCTAATAATATATACGTGTTTGTACATTTCTTCTATAATCTAAATTATCGCGAAAGTAAATGAAAATTCGCAAGAAAATAATTAGACACTAGGGGTGAGCGAGAACTTGAAAATTTCGAGAATCCGTTTCTCGAACTGCTCTGCAGTGCTGTATAGCAATCTACAAAATATGTAAATACACAGTTCAATTTCTTCTGCCAGCGAAGTTATTGGAAACACGGATTCTAAGAATCGTGTGACCTGATATAAACGAAGTCGTGTGACTGCGTGCCTGGTATGTGGACATTATGTACGCTGTCGAACAGTATCGCTGAGAAATTCGGGGAGGTCAGACGTATATTTCAAAATCTGTGTGAATTTAATAAAGATTAAAAATCTTTAAAAAAAAGTGTCGAGTGATAGTGAGAGTAGAGTTGTGGTAGCAGGAAGTAGTCCAGAAGATATCGTGCAATGGAAGAAGGTAAATCAACTTAAAAATCACCATGAATTTAAAACTGAGTATGCAATACTAGTTTATTACGCCCATTTGAAGTATGTGCATCCAAACATAAGTACATGTACTAGAAAAGAAACTGAATCGATAAAATAAAATTTGTCGCGTGTACAAAATGATACGACGCGAAAGATAGTTAAACCAAAAGGTATAACAAAAGAAATTCTTTCTAACCGAATACCGATTCTTTCGAGAATCCCGATAAATTTGAGAATCTCGCACACCTCTGTTAGACACGATTCAAAATTCCTCTCAAAAACCATGCACGCGTATCGAAGCTTGGTCGATTAATTCTCGTCGACGCGAGTTTTGGAAACTCGTCGTCAGGCAAAGTTGGCACTCGCCGAAACAGTTGGAATGCTCGCGCTCGTGTCGTTTATCGGTTGTTCGGTAAGAATCGAGCGTCCGCGATGGAATTTCTCGCAGTTACCGTCGCCTTAGCGCGCTGAGCACGATGGGGGGAAAAAACGTGGAAGAAAGAAAAAGGAGAACGACCACAAAGGACGGTACAATGGAGTTTGCGGAGCATTGTTTGAGCATCTAGTACAATCCACTCGCGTCCTCTGTGTCCCCCCACTTCTCCCCTTCGCGGCTCTCGGTCATTCGATCGAATCCAAGCTTTTCTTCGGTCGGTACTAAGTAATAGCAGTTTCGGGGTGGGTTTCGAGTCGAGCCGAACCACTACTACGGCGGTGGGTGGGCTCGACTCGAAGGTCGCCGAGCGAGATTTTATCGTCGAAATATCATTCGGGGCTGAGTGGCATTCACCGAGTGCCGTTTTTTTAATGCTTCCATTGTGCGGGTTCTCAGTAGGTCAAGCGTTTGCTGGGATTTGAGTCGAAAGAGGCCCTCACGCCGGCCACAAAGATGCCGGCCGTGGCAGGCGTGCGCTAGATTTCTCGCGCTTCTTTAACTTTCCAACTGCGGTGCGGTTCGTCGAACGAGTCGAGCGAAAGATAGGCAGAGTACTCGCAATAGTAGTTGACTGGGAAATCCAGCGGTCTCGAATTTAGGCTCGTTCCAGCGAGCTCTCCGATCACTATGATCTTTTTCGAAAACCGACCAGCCTCACTCTTCGTCGAATATCTCGAATTTTCATTCAACGAGTTCCCAATTTCATTCCTGAATTTCTCAGCTCAATGACAGCTCGTTCGTCGAAGAAGTAACAAACTTTGAATTATCTAGAACCACAATACTACCGTTAAGTATTAAAACACATGTCAATTGCCATGGAAGATAAACTTGATGAAAGATTTCTGAAAATATGAGATAGAATATGAGACTGCTAGCCCGCGAAGGAAAATCTGGCCTCTGAAAAACAAAATTTGTTTCCTTTTTCTGTTACAGTGACTGGGCTGAAGTTGCTTCGCATAATCGTCCCGACATACTCCCATAGGGGCAAGAGTGCGCTTCTCGAGTGCAGGTAAGAGTACTTGGACGTGGTACTACGTCGTCGAGCGGTGTCGTTTTCAAAGGGAATTCTCGTTGGTCCGTCCGCGTCTCTTTTTCCGATCGATCGACGACCATCGATCCAAGAGGTGGCACGTTCCGGCACGACACGCTAAAAATCGCTGTCGGCGACGTTGTCCCACTGCGCATACATGTACGCGCCACTTTTTAAGCAATAGAACACGTTTGACTGCGAAGATCGCGAGTGAAAAATACGAGGAGAAGCAGCTTCGAAGGTCATTATTTCACGTTACAATTACCTTTTTCGATTGATTCTGCGTATTAAACGTTTGTTTCTATTTGTGCTTCTCAATCGATCTGTAGCGCCAAATTCGGGAAGGAAATTTCAAGAGTTTCGCTTTTAATATTTTGAAAAATACTCCCAACGGAATGGGAATGGCGTGTTTTTTAGAATTATCTGGGTATACTTGACGATTTTATCGATTTCATATCGTTCCGATGTATTTGAAAAGACCTACAATACTAAAAGTTCCCTGCTGTTTCTCGAAAAACATCAAAAAGTCATCGTTCCCCCTTTTTGCCGATCGGCAACCAGAAAAATCTTTTTCCCCCCGTCGCAAAATCCACGTTGTTAAATCCTATTTCTCGCCATCACGTTCGCAGCAGCGTTTCGCGCGCGGTAAGCTCGGCAAGTATCCTAACACCTACTAACGGAATCACGGTAGAATACATATTATACATAGTTGGCATTCTGGTCTGACGTGACGTCGTGACGTGCCAGTTTCCCATGACGATTCTACTTTGCCTCCGCGTTTCGCCGCCAGCCAACCAGCGTTGAACGCACGCGAGATAAATCGATTCGCGGTCATCCAACGAATAAATCCGTTGGAAACGACAAAGCCGTTGGCCGGAACCGGACGCGGAGCGATCGAGTGGCCCGATACGAGTGAGTGGCCCCGAGTACGGCTCCGAGAGACGCGAAGACGGCCTGGAGAACGATTTTTCTCTCTTATTTACGGCGCTGGGAAACCAGACGAGAAGAACTCGTAAAGACATCGATAAGATGCCAGCCAATAACGTATCGAGTTTACGCTTAGCGTCCGAACGGCGCCGGTAAATAAGATTAAAAATAAGACGAGGAAGAAGAGGATGGATCGGTAATCCCTTGGAACTAGGAATCTCGATATCTTTCTTCTCTCTCTCTCTCTCTCTCTCTCTCTTTCTCTCTCTCCAGCTTTATTTATTTATAGTTGGCAATATCGTAGACCGCAATCCAAGCAGGAAAGCTTTCTCTTACCCACTGTTGGCTAGCTCTCGCTTTCCTGTAAAAGATGCTCGCCGCGCGCCTACCGTCTTCCACTCCCGCGAGATCTCTTTCGTACCCGTGCTCCTGGGTCTAACCTTGGTCTCCTTGCAATTCTAACCTTGGGGATCGCAATTTTGGACCTGAAACAATACTCGTGTTCTCGCGTACTCGTGCAATGTTAGCGAATTGAACATTCGTCTTCTCGCCGCTTGTCTAACTACGCGCTATTTCTCCGTGCGATTTATGAATAAACCGGTTAAAATCGAAATAATTATATTTATACAGAGATAATTCGAATCGATTGTGTTCCCTTTGAACGGGAATTCAGAGAGAAAAAAAAAAACTGTTGGGAAATACTTTAACTAAACAAAAGTACGCCAGATTTATTGTATTTATATCCTTTATACCCTTGAGATATTCACTCTGAATGAAAAATCCGTATTAATTGGCAAATCGCGGGACACGAACTTTATTTTATCAAATATCGTGTGACGCCTACACAAAAGAAATGATTCATTTTCAAATGAAATCGTTTCGATTATTCGCGAGTACTTTCATCCAGCGACATGCATTTCTCTTGCCTCGGAGATCTTCAAACGTATAATAACGTGCCCGTTTAAATGCGAACCTCGCTGAATCTCGGATTCCTTCCAACGTCTTCTCCCGTGAAACGTGGTTAATCGGGATTCGTTAACAGAGTATTCGCCGAGAGCCGTCGCGTCGTTTCCTACCGGAAGAAACTTTGATTCCGTGCTAACTACTGGACTCGCGCAATTACCGGCCAAACGACAACCCACCCGGACCAGGAGGAACGCCTTAGCACGATGACCGACGCACCGAACGCTGTACACAATTTACGCGTTCCAACTTCTGTTCGAAGACCAATTCGAACGCTAATTTGGATTAGACGTTGCGAATTGATTGCTAGGCGATAGACAATTCGGCGGGAGGGCGGTGGGGGGATGAAACTTCTTCGTGAGTTCGCGATGCAGCTCACGATTCTATCCGGCCAAGCAGAAATAAATATTCCGAATAAGTCGGGACGCGGAACTCGTAATGAGGAACGCGTTTGTGAGATGCTTTAAACTCTTGTAACTTGAAGAAAAAAAGATCGTGTAACTTGATCTCGTTTTATAGTTTCTCGATTTTGATGGCTCTGAGTTTGTTTGTTTCTTTCTTAAAATTGTTCTCATCGATAGAAACATATTCTCGAAAATCGTACAAATTCGAAAATGTCGAAACTACATTTTCTTTTCGAGATGAATCTTCTCCAAAAATGTCGAAGAACTTTCTTTCTAGGCTAGATCTTCAGCACAGCTCTTGGAGATTGAGACTCTCTTTTTGCAAGAAAAGTATCGTTAAAACTTGTGTGATTCGTTTCGCCGCGTTTCATTGAACTTTGAACGTTAGATAACGAAACGGATTTCTTGAATTTTAACCTTATTTCTTTTTCGTGCGGAAACTCTTGTTAAAATTCACGTTACTACCTCGCGCAAGTTATTCCTAATGTATCGATAGCAAATGGCCTCGCAGTTTCTAAAGACCATTCGACGACCAGATCGATCGTCCACGTGCGTGCTCACAGTGTTGGCGAACAATTGTCGAATAGTTGGTCGCCCGTTTTCATCTGGTTGGATATTGTTCGTGATCACGTTTGCGCGAAGTATATAGCGCGAAGTATATATTGGAACATCCACGAGCGCGCGGCACAGTGGTGTTACGTATATATAAAATATTTTTGTAGGTTTTTAGAACTGGTGGTGAGTTAGTTAATGCAGGCAGAGCGTGTCTACCTACCGGGCGAGTATGCACCTTAACGGCCAACTACAACCGAGACAACTGCCGTGCAACTTTCCACGGAGTTGACCAAACAGCCGTTCATCCCCATAACGGAAGACATCTGCTCCTCTTACAGAGACAAAACGCGCTGGTAAAGGTGTAATACGAAGAAGGACACGAGGTCTTAAAATCCTTCAGCATAGCGTTCTCTCCATCAGAGTTTTAAATACCGCAGTCTTAGCAAAGTCGCCGAGTTCTCGGGAAGAGTTGTCGTGCTAAACAGGGCTTTAAGTAATCGCTGTCTTCGGGGTTTTTGATAAAACCACGTAGACAGATGTATAAAATGAGAGTTGCAAATGTTGTACGCAGTATACAGGATGAACCAGAAAATCACTCTTTATTAAAACAAATCCGTAAATTTTATTATACATTTTTAAAAAAAATTTTTTTTTACAGATTGAAGAACACTAACTTCAAGTTAATGAAATTAGTTTTTTTCTCATGTTTCAATGTTTTATCAAAAAAAAAAAAAAAAAGTAAACGAGAAGAAACTTTTGGCCCACTCTGTATTATATAGTAACAGAGCTTCAGAGAGTAATAATTAGACTGCGAATATTTCTGTGAAATTGTTACAACAGGCACTCTAGTTTTCTACATTTTCGTATCCCTAAATTTCCACAGAAAATGAACGAATATATTTTCAAATACAACAAACGAACGATGCTGTATCCTAGTAGCTAGATTCGAAAAGATACGAATCAATCATAGCGTAATTACGCTTCTTACTCGCTTTGAACTGCGGCAAGGGAAATTTAAACGACCGTGAACAGAATGCAAATCGGCTTCGACGTTCTAACAATTACGAACGCGTCTCGAATCAGATATTTTAAAGCTCTATTCCGTGGTACGATTGTCTGAAACCTCCAAAGGCAGCTGCGTTTGAAACTATGTTTCCGAAATTACCCGGTGCCTTCGTATCTACAGTCATTTCGACTCAAAATGCCGGTTCGTTCTCAAGAGAGACGAAGCCTCGGACTTCGGATCGCGTGAAATAGCAAACAGCACTCGGAAGAGATCTCGGAAATCCTCGTGTAATCTGCGTCTCTTCCTCGCGGAGAGAATGCGTATCATCAATACGCGTAATCGTAAAAATAGTAAAAATCGTCGTCGACTCTCGACGAGGTCTCGAGCTCTTGACCATTCCGTTTTACGTAAGATTGCACATATACGTGAGGTAGATCAGTAACCGTGGCTGCGAGATTCGATCGCGCGCGATAGCGCAGGGAAAGCGATATTAAAACGTTAAACATTACGCTCCGCTTTAAACGATGATATCTCAGCGAATGGAAGGTCGTAACAGTATAAAACTGAAATCGTTTTAGAGAAGGGAGAGAGAGAGAGAGAGAGAGAGCTTTCCCGCGAGCTTATTACCATAGCGAAGATATGAAGAACTTCGGAATAATAATCGTGCAAACTTTCGGTGGCTTTAATACGTTATCCGCAAGCTTGGAAATACGTAACGAGATACCAGAACGAGGAGGGTATTTCATTTACTTTTCTTTCTCTCTTTCTTTCTTTCTTCCCTTCTTTCTTTTCCTTCTTTCCAGCTAATATCAGCCGTGTTAACAACGCTGCTAAACATTTCTAGCGCTGCAATCTGTGAATTATCGCGAATGAGCACTTGAGTTGTTTCCCGCGTTGTGCGGTAACGCGCGCGAAAAACAGTAGAATCGTGGAGGGTGAAAAGCGAAGCGAATCTACATGAAAAAATAAGTCGAAAATGTGGAGAGCCGTGCCCGTTTCATTGTACCCGAGGCTTTATTTCGGGGGACAAATCCGCGGAGCACGCGGGCATTTACACATGATCTCACTTATGCCTACGTGCGATCGTGTATGTATGTACGTGTGACACGTATCAATCGCGACGG